TTTTTTAAAAAATAATAATAAAATTTTAATAAATTAAAATTATTTATATATATTAATTAAAAACATAAAAAAAAAACATTTCATGAAATTTGAACATATCATTTACATAAAGTCAATAAGTTTAACCTAAAAGTTATGTTACTGAAAGAATAAAAAAAAACTTTCGTGAAATTAGAGAACGTCATACACCAAAAAGTGAATGAGTTTAATTTAAATTTTATGTCATTCAGTCGAAATATATTATTTAATAAAAATATAATAATTACTTTAAAATAAATTGGAAATCAAAATACAATTATTTTCGAAAGTAGAGAAACATTTAATAAACTGGCTCTTTCATTTAATTTTCAACTAAATAACGTGACCAATTAAATCTGACCATTTTATTACTGCTCACTAGACTCACTACCACCAACGACCATGCCTCTTTTTCCCCTTTATCTCCTCTTCCTCCTCGCCGCCGTCTCCATCCTCCCCCACTCCCACCAGTACCATCCTCTCGACCCCCTCACACCGGCGGAGCTCACCCTCGTCAGCACTATCCTTACCACCTACTACCCTGGCACCACCCACAACCTCACCTTTCAATACATCGGCCTAGAAGAGCCAAACAAAGACGCCCTCCTTTCATGGCTGCAGAAAAACCAGATCAAAACACCAATCCCACCTCGCCAAGCCTCCGTCATCGCCCGTATAAACCACAAAACCCACCAAATCATCGTTGATTTGTCCCATAACAAAGTCGTCTACGACCAAGTTTACCACGGCTATGGCTACCCTTTACTCACCTTTGAAGAACAAATCGCTGCCAACGCCTTGGCCCGAACTCACCCGCCATTCCTGGCGGCTATCCGACGGAGGCGGCTGAAGATAGAGGAGGTGGTGTGCGGGAGCTTCACTGTGGGATGGTATGGAGAGAAGAGGAGGAACAGAAGGCTCGTTAGGGTAATGTGTTACTATTTAGACGGTACGGTTAATTTGTACATGAGACCAATTGAGGCAATCACGGTGACCGTTGACCTTGACGAAATGAAGATCATAGAGTTTCGGGATAGATTGACGGTTGCAGTGCCGAAGGCAGATGGAACTGACTATAGGGAATCGCAGCAGCAGCCTCCTTTTGGGCCACAGTTGATGGGTATCACGGTGGTCCAACCAGACGGCCCAAGCTTCACTATTGATGGACATATAGTAAGGTAAAAATAGTCAATTGGGCCCGCTACTTTTATCTTATTGGATTTTTTTTTT